CTGCTTCAGCATTAGTACGTCCCACATGCTCATAATATTTAGTTTTTATAGCCTCTAGGTGCATTGGCTATTTCTGAGTTGGAATAGTTACCTGAACTTCTGTAGGGCAGAGCAATGGGAGCCATGCAAGAGGCTGCAAATGCACTTAGGCACGGGCTATCTGTTTTCTCTTTACATATTTAAATATATTGTAGAAAATGAAGCAATCAAGGTTGGTACAATATTGTTTAAAATCTCATCCACAAAAACGGTGAAATTACCGTAGTCTCACAAGATTTTTCTTCAAACCCCAATAGCCAAGGACTTTCTGATGGTTTGTTTATTTGTTTTGCCCCCAAAAAACTCATAATATTTGAGAGGATGTCCTTCTGAGACAGTTTGTTTGCAATGGTTCTATATGTCCAGAAGTTGCCATGAAATGGCATTTCCTTGGGAAGACAGGCAAACCCATTTGAGAATGAATATTATAAATTTATTTTTAAGGTAAGCAACAACTAATTAAGGAAGCTTACATTTCCTAATTGCCACATTATTAAAGCGTCACACTTTTTACCTGAAGCATGATAAATGCTATCATCAAGAAGTGATTATTTTTCTACTCATTTGAGGATATACATGACCAATAATACCTGTTTTTCTTACCGCTGTTCAAAATAGAGTGGCAGGGTAAGTCAGTGTCATTCCTTAAGAGAAACTAACCTATGAAAACAACCTTTATTTTTTTTTTCATCTGTTAGACTAACACTACAGCTTTACTAGATGTGTTAACAAATGCAGCAGCTCGGTGCTGCTGAAGTTGAGTTTTGTCTCCACTGATCGTTAGCTTCTTCCCTGTATCATGTTGTTGGCTCTTTTCTTAAAGAGTCAACTTGCTAAAGTTTCAAAAAAGTAACCCAGGAAAAAAAAAGGAGCACTTTTCTAGGTAGTGAATTCCAGTGGCTTAGAGATCCAGTGAGAGCCAGTGCTAATGAGAAAGTGGAGGTGAGTGAAGCTCTATGGGCAAGACTGGAGGAGCAGACATTGAACTGGAACAGAAGAGAACAGAATCTGGAAGGAACATGTGTGCTTTTCAGTAATCCTGGCTTTCCTCAGTAGGACTGTCTTGGAAGGTTGAATAATATTGGACTTCTTCCTGACAATAGGGGAACTGACACAAAATACTGCTACGTTTGTATTTTACTGTGCGCGTTGGACCTTTGTTGTGAAAAGGTCGGAAGAGGGTGTGTTTAGAGTTTTAAGACACCAAACAAAAATTTAAAGATCCAATTCTAGCTCCAGTTGAATTCTTTGTGATCGGATTGGTTTCTCGATGTAATTACAAGTGAGAAATAATATGGAAAATATTAGTAAATGCATTAAATGTCCTTGGAATGGGAAATGTACTGCTTTGAATTGAAATTACCGGAAATACATATATGTACTTTTGTTATCTAGTTTGAATTTTGCAATAGCTCAGAAATATGGCCCAGTAAAATTTGGGGTGTTTTTTACTTGTACTCTTTTCCTCTGTGTTTCTTTTCCCTCTCTGAAAGAGAAAAGTTGTAATGTTTCTGCATTCTGCTTTGTTTAACAGTTTGCTGCTCAGCCAGGATTGTGATGGCATCATACTCAGCACCGATGATTATTTTCATCAGCAAGACGGATATACATATAATGCTACTCACCTTGGTGATGCCCACGACTGGAATCAGAAGAGAGGTATGAATGCATAAAGGAAACTTACATGAATTGCACATATAATTAGAAAATAGAGATAGGACGTGTGTGTGTGTTTACAAGAGAGTAGCGTGTAATTAATATGTAATTTTCATACATGAGATTTTGTACTCGTCAAAGGCTCAGATTTTAAAGGACAAAATCTTTGTGCTGTGAAGTGCTCATTTTTTACATTTCAGTTGCATCATGGTAGAATTGAACATTTAATGCTTGTAGTAACAGAACATGCAGATGCAGAAACATATTTTCCACTATGTTTCCCTGAAGCTCATGCAAAATTCACGTACATTTGTCATCCAATAGATATTTTACTTGTGTAGTTTAATAACTTTTTAATAGTCATTCTTCTAATACCAGCAGTGTCCAGAAGTTGGATTAATTGGAAAAGAGGTTTGCTTTTGCTCTTGCTACAGGTGATTGTGCTTGTGCAGGCTTGAGAGAGACACCTGGAGTGAGAAGGACTGGAAACAAAGCAAAGATTGTTTCTCACTTTCTCTAGTGATTTTTTTTTAAGAATGTGGTCAGGAGTTCGGTCTGCTGCAAGGACTGGGCAAGCAAAGAAAATCCATTGCCTGTCCATGCAGCTCCCTCTCTGCTGCAGTGTCTGAAGTAGAAATTTTCTTTACATGAACAGGAATTCTTCTCCACATCAGAAAAAAGGGAGAACCAAGGAAAAAAAAATAGTAGCATAGCTATTTCAAACATCCTCCCTTGTTCCTCCCTCACCTTAGTCCAAGTTGTTGACATATTGGACGAAATTGGACTACATCGTGTCTACATTAGTATGGCATACGTGATCTCTGAACAAACAGTGAAAGTTTGCTTGTTTGTTTTTTAAACAGTAGAATATTGATTATAGAAAAGAAATGTTACGGTAGGAGTGGAGCAGTGATAAACATTTCACACACAGTTGCAGTTTGTAGACAAGAGGGCTCAATACTTCAAGAAATATAAGGTCAGTTGTCACATCGTAATAAAGGATTCTGGCAGCTTCTAGCTAGATCTCAAAATGCAGATCTCTAGTTCTATATCATTTGTTTATATGGTGTTTTTGATAACCAAAATAAGAACAGTTATTCCAACACCCACACTGCAAAACATTTGCCAGAATAGCTTTGGTTTGAAGCTATAATGACTTCATATCTACTGTTTTGACTAGATAGACAGAACTCTGTGATTCAAAGTATTTCAGAAGCTCTTGGTTTTAGTTGTGTGGAACATGAACTTACTTTCTTCTAATGTTGATATATATGAGTATAAATATGAGAAAAACCTTAGTTACAAATGAGATCAATTTAATAAAAAATTATTTTAATTGAACTGAATTTCAAACTCATCTCTCAGATGCTTTACAAGCCTGAATTACATGCCTTTGATACTAAAGTACACATGAAGGTCATAAAGTCAAGAGCACAAATATTAGGAAATAGAATTATTTTGCCTGTGCAAGCTTAAATATGAAATTAGTTTCATTCTTAGAGGCCCTCTATATTCACTTTTCCAACCTTATTATTTGTCTCCTATTTTAATTGGCCCTGCCACTCTTTAGCTGGAACTTGTTGCTGCCTTCCTCGTGTTTTCAACAATGTTGATTGGACAGATCAAGTTGGGTTTGATCTCCTTTTTAGTTCTATACTACTTTGTTTTTGATGGTGATTATTAAAATTTAGTAACTTGTTTCATGGAGCATTATGAATTCTCTGATTTTTTTTTTATGGCAGTAACCTTAGTATTTTAGGTTTCAGATGTTTTAGGTTGTTTTTTTTTTTTTTTTTTTTTTTTTTTCTCCAATCCATCATCTAAACTCCCAATGACCATTAGTGGTATCATATTCTGAAATTTACAAACAAAAGTTGCTAAAAATATATCCTCCCATTTCGATATCAGAAGGTTGCTTATTTGATTTATCAAGGGTAAAATAGCCTAAGGTTTATGAAGAGTTACCATTTTAGGGATCAGGATAGTTTACTATCCTGTGGAATTCCAGAATGTCAGAAAGTCAACAGATTTTTCATCTTTTACTACCTATACTACTCCAACTGCACCAATGTCAATTCTGTCCTGTAATCCTTAAAAGAGGCTAAAAAGCAGTGTAATCTTGCTAGTTCTGTGTTAGAAGCGTGCCAGTGTGTAAAAATCCAGCTAAGCAGACTGTGCCATGGCTGCACCTCAGTGGAGTTGCTAGTTTGGATGTGCCTTCTTCCCAATGGTGCTTTCACAGACCCTAGAAGCAGCTCCTTATTCCTTAGGTTTCTGCCATCTTCCTCTTTTGGATTTGACTGAAACTGAGCAATGACTTCAAAAGAAAATCAAGCAGAGATGGCTAAATTGTGTATGCGTGTATATATATATATATACATATATATATATAAATGACTCTCCCCAGGATCTCAGAAATGTGGTATCTTTCTGTGAAGATCACATATTTCTCTGTAGTTTATTGAAGAAGTACTCAATACCTGAGCACAGGACCCAGTTGTACCTGCAGTATATATTAGCTGGAGGACTGGTAAAACTGGACCAAAGATAGGCTTTCATGTGAAAATCTCATTTCTGGTACTAACTGGGCATCAGTCTTTGAACAGCCCTGCTATGCTGCTTTTTTACATTTCCCTTTTACATTACCCTTTTGTATCAGTTCACCACTAACTTATTTTTATGTCCCTTCTTTTTTTTTTTTTTTTTAAACTTCTCACTCCTCTCTACCTTACACTGCTTTTGATACTTTTCTTAGGACAGTTTGTGTTTGAGTCAGGCCAAATAAGTGCAGAAAATCTCTAGAACAGTGTACTTGCATTCACCATTTTGACTTTCATAGTTGTTTATTAGCTCTCGCTATTTTTCATTGCAGCAAAGCAAGCAATGGAGGAGGGGAAATCTCTGATTATAATAGACAACACTAATACTCAAGCCTGGGAAATGAAACCTTACGTGGAAACGGTAGGTTGTCATGTAATTATATTACCTTACAGCTTTAGTTTGCAAGTGTTCACCTTCATGTGAGAAGCTGGGCTATTTTGTTCAGAACCATTTTCTGTACTGAAATCTTTAGAGACTGCTTTTTGATACAATCAGTAACTGGACAGCAATAATCCAGACTAATATGAGGACTGATTAGACCTAATTTGCCTAACCTGGCAAGAAAGCCTTCACTGATTTTAGGGTGAGTGAAATTCAGCATGCTACCACTCTAGAATTAACTGCATATGTTTATTAGAGTGGTTGGTAAGCATCTTGTTATAGTCGCTGCTATACAAATGTTATATAAAGATGCACATACCGGACATTTGTCTTTACTTGCTGCAGGCTCTAGAAAAGGGATACAGAGTGGAGTTCCGTGAGCCAGATACTTGGTGGAAGTTTAATCCTGAAGAATTAGAAAAGTAAGATTTATGTTACAGTAATCAGTGTGCTTTCATATGTTTGTTTATATAAAAATAAGTAACAGCTTTTATTTTGTGCAGCATCTTATTGGTATAAATGCTTACAAATACAAAAATAGATGTTCTGACTTCTTGGACATTGAAGATGGTACTAAAACTTGGTTGGGTATGAATAGAAAAATAATTGATCTGTGTAAGAGACAGCTTTATAATGAATAATTATAAAAGTCATGAAATTAGTAGAGGCAAAATGAGCTTATGTGCTTTACAAAGGATATATAAATAGAGGTTATTTCTGTCTAATTTTATATATGTCTCGGTATCAAAGAATAATAGTCCATTACTAATCAGTAAAGGTGAAAAAGCAAGTTCCTATGTTCAGATGATTCCGTTGCAGGAATTTCTGAAACTCCATCCCCAGCCTTCAAAGGAGGCATCTTTGAGTACTTTTGGACATAGGTTATTGGCCTTGTGGATTTTGAGAAAACATGTGAAGCTGTTTAATAATTTTGGTAATTTGTGTTTTGTGTCAGGTTTATGTGCTTTGTAAGTATATGAAGTATCTCCCTTGAAGTATTCAAGAGAGATTTTGACATTTGAAAGGCAGTGGAATGTTTTCATGGTTGAACTCAATTCTCTTACTGCTCGTTACTTTATTTACTCCCTTTGGTCATTATTTTTATTTGACTTGGCTTATAATTGTTCTCAGCATTGTAAAATTGCTCCTATAAAGCATCAAGCATGTGTGTAATACTCACCTAACCTCTATTATGTTCATACATTATAAATTCAATTACATTTGTGCCTTTTGCTCCTAAGCTATCGCTGAGTTGTTCTTAGAGATGGGGTCATCGCTTTTCATGCAGAGATCTCATACCAGTTTTTCTAGTTTTGAGTGCAGCACAGTTTAGTTAGGAAGCTGTCTTAAATAACTGGATACCTAAAAGATGTTTAGTGTGAGATAATTCCTGGCATCCTAGGAATGATGGAAATATTTTAGCTGTTCCAATTGGTCTAAATATTTGAAAGGAGGTCCCTTGTCATGCAATTTAATTTACTGAAAGTCCAGGGAAAGTGCTGATGTGAGGCTTTGTTTTGTTTTTATTCAGTGCTTGAGGTGGGCAGGTCTTCTCTTAGCATTTTTTATTACTATCTATTTCCCAAACATGTTAATATTAAAAAAGAGGTTATTGTAATTCTGGGACTTCCTTTGTGAATTTTGAGCTGAACATGTTGTGCAGTACTTGGGCAAATACTAAGTTAATAAATTCGGATAACCTTATTAATAGTCTGAAGTCGTAAGGTCTAATTCCCTCCTAAAGAGAATAATTTAAGATCTTTTTTTTTTTTTTTTTTCTCTCTTTCTGGGAGTTGTGGGAGTTGGAATAGAAAATACACCAGCTTCTAATTTAATTATTTAGCAAAGGATTTTGACTACTTTTTTTTTTTTTTTTTTAAGTAGTACTGTCATCTATATTGATAGTAACTTGATAACAAGTGGTTTAATACAGCAGTATTCTATAAGTCAGGTGTATTTTAAGGTGCTATTTCCTATAGGGGTGTTTCTGCCACCAAGATGTTTGCGAAAAGGGTTCTTCAAAAGGAAAAAATAGGACAGCTTTTTAGAGCACTGTTGGTTTTTGTTGGTTTTTTTTTTTCTGGTATGTCTGATTACTTCTAGATTTGTGCATGATTTTGCTTGTAGTTTAGTCTTGCATGTACCTCTTGTGAAAACATCTTGACTTCTTGATTTGTAGTGCTCCATTTTTCCTGCGTGTCATTTACACCATTTACACTACATAAAGGATTTTATGCTTTCAGAAATCATTTTTAGCAAATCTTGGAAACTTAGTCATAGAACAAACAAGTCACAGAGCAGCTGGTAGAAGGGAAAGGTTCTTGTGTATTTAGGCGGAGGTGGATGTAAAATTGGCTGTCTGTCGGTGTCCTTTCAGAGTACCTGCTCAGTAGGAAGCAGAAGGTAGTTGTACATTTGCTTCAGGCTTTTGAGGGGTAGCAGGTGTCCTATATAACCTGTTTTAGGGCAGCTGCTGTTTCTTGAAAAAAGTTACCTGCTATTTCCATATACTGAAAGGTGAAATGCAAAAATGCTTCTTAGGATTATGTTTTCTTCAATATAATCATGAATCTTCAAATTAGTATTTTTTAAAAACTTGCTAATTGTCTTCAACAATAATTTCCGTGTAGGATTATTTTGCTTATATAGTGGTATGCTCTGCTTGACAACATTCAGAGTTTTATCGATAAATTCTGTGTTGTTCTTGAAAGCAAAAAAGGCTTGCAAAGCATAACTGTATGAGGGCTTTTTGCTGGTACGTCTGTGTTTTTTTAGGAATGAGGTGACTACCCTCTTTAAGCATAGCCATGCTACCAAAAGATGAGTGAAGGTAGTTTGAAGTACATGTTTTTGAAGTAAATGACAGAAAACTACAGACTTCCTGCATTTTAAAATTGATTTCTATTCTTGATAAGATTTTTCCATTAGCGATTGTTATCCTGCCTCCTTCTTTAAGGGGAACAACTAGTTTATTCTTGAAATGACTAACAGCTCCATTCGATTGTAGATGAACGTGCACTTTTTGTGCTCTTGAGTTCTAACCCTTTTCCAGTAGTAATGAGATATGGGGAATCTTGAATAACTTTGTGCTACCACCTGCTGGCATGAAAGGATGTATTTACTTCCTCTTCTTGGTTATTCTTTATCGTTTGAATCAAATGCTTGCTAGAATTCCCATATATCTAGGGGATATCTTGTTCATGTTTTTGAATATGCTAACTGTTAAGACTGGGTAGATAGCCAGTTCACCATGCTGCTGCTTCTGGATTTTTAAAATTTTATTTAAAGTACAATATAAGACTTGGTACAATTGACATTGAGCCTGTTATGATAGTTCCTCTTGGTTCTGATGATGCTTCAAAGAACAGCTTCTGTGAGTGAAAAGCTCTTCCTAAATCTTTCCTTCGCAAAGAAGAAAGTTGATAAAATGTATCTTAAGTCAGACTAATTTTAAATACTTCTGAGATCACCAGTAGTTCTTCCATTGCACACATGAAAGTGTATGCAAACTGCTATATAGTTTGCGACCTCGTCAGCTTGACGTGGTTCCGTGTTGGAATAATATGCACGAACTCTTGAGAGGACTTGGTCCATTAAAATGGTGTTTCTCTGTAGAGAATCCTCTTCCTACTGCAATTCTTTTTCTGTGACTATTGATTTCTCCCTTACAGGAACTGAGAAAGTTGGTAAGGGGCCCCATGCCTCTCTGTCCCTAGCAGAGAGCACAGAGGGGTGGCCATATTCACTAGTGGTGTGTCTTGCAAATACTCCAGCTTGAACAAGGCTTCTTGGTAATAAGAATATGTTGGATTATGATAAATGTTTGCATACACTGTTGAAAGGTTCCATGTGTGCTGTGTTTATAATGTCAGTTCTTTGACATTCAGTTCTCTTAGCCTGCTGTTAACTCTCTAACATACAGTTTGTGCATAATAATGTGGATTTTAAGATCCTATTCCATAGATACTAAGGAGATGGGTACATTGTAATGCCAAACATATTTTAAATCACATTTTATTCAGGTTCTTAGTTGACCAAATTCTCAGTGAAAATAGCAGCTGTTCACTAAACCTTGCAAGAGTACGACATTTTTTTTGGCTTCTGATCCGTGATGTGTTTTGGTGTATTTCTAAGTTTGCAATAAGCATCAATAAGAACTGTTAGATAAAGATATCTTGAGCATGGTGTTCCAATCCAAAATGAAAACTTCTCCTTATTTTTATAGGGAAGCTTATTGATGAGAAAAATAATCTGTAGTTAAGGTTTTGTTGTTATTATTTTGTTTTAATGCTATTTTCAACTCAGAAACTTATCTTTCATAAGATATAGTCTCATAATTCATCCCCATACTGACTAACTAGTATACCATATAATATCTGCTGAATAAATAAGAAGCAAAGACCACTTAGAATTTTTTAATGTACATAGTCCTGGTTAGTAACATGGCTGTATTAAATAATAATAAAATAATAGGCACAATGAAGAATTGTTAAAAAAAAAAAAAAAAAAAAACCTTAATACATATTAAATCCTGGAAGAATGAGAATACAGTGTAATGAAATCTTAAATTGTAAATGTTAGAGCATTTTTTTTCAAAATATATGCAATCACTTGGTTTAGTGATATTTTTCAGTTATAAATAGCTTGCTGCTAGATAATGCAGGAAAATCCATCTTTTAAATATGAAAAGCAAGGGAAAAATATAAAATGAAGAGTTCTCTGAAATTTTTCTTTTCTCTCTTTTTTCTTTCTTTTTAAGACTGTAAATGTATAAACATAACAGAAAACTTTTACGTTTTTATTTTTGTAGGAGGAATAAGCATGGGGTCAGTCGTGAGAAGATTGCTCAGATGTTGGAACGATATGAATATCAAATATCCATACCCATTGTCATGAACTCAGTGGTACCTCCTCACAAACACATGCAAAAACCACCTCTGCAGAGAAGACATAGGTGGGAAGGCAATACAGACTCATGGAATTATTTCAGTATTTCTAATAACTGATAACACAAGTTGCAGCCAGTTAATAAAAATCTCTTATTTGCCATTCTTAAATCTGTCTTCACCACTAGTAAAATAGTTGATCTTCTGCTTTTAAAATGGGCTGATTTTAAAACCTCTCCCTTTCTGGGAATTGTTTCTTTAACAGACTTACTTGTGAATAAAACTACATTAGATGTTTTTAAATATATATTTATTACAGTTGTAATAAATTTTTAGTAAAGTATTTCGAATAGTATGAAGCAGAGCAGAGTCTTCCTTCATAAACCTAGGACAATGATATTATCATACTGAGTAACTGTTGAGCAGTTTTTTTTTAAAGAGGTAACATTATTATACCTTTTAAACAGAACTAAAGCCCAGGAGAAGGTATTTATGTAATATCTAATTTCAACAATTCTCATAGCTTTTAAGTCTCTGAATGTTTTACCAGATTTATTATTATTATTATTTTAAATGCAGCTGTTTCCTAGACTTTTGGAAACTTTAGTTGGCATCCAAAACTTAGGAAACAACTTTTTTTCTGCCTTTTTTTTTAATCAAAAGTTCCTCTAGCAGTTGAAGCAACATTGTGCCAATGCAGTATTCACCAGCCTAAAACAGTGCAACTTAAATTCTTCTTTGAGTTTTTTTCTCTGTAGTAATATATAAAGCTTGATAGTGTGTGCATGCCACCTCTGTTTTTGTACTAAAACCACTAAATTTTAGCATTGCAAAAATAAATTCACACTTATCTTTCTGAGCCAAGTTATGTTTGTTATAAAACTGACAGACACAAAACATTAGCCTGTTCACTCCAAATCCACAGCTGGAATTAATCAACTCAGTAAAAATAATGGACACAATTCTGTAAAACCATGTTGCATTCTTAGTTTTGGCATACCTAATATAATTTGTTTAGTATATATCAAAGTAGGAGCCAGCATGGAGATTGATTTATTGTCCTTTTTTTCTCTTAAAAACTGACAAATTAGGAAGATTTTACTTTGCTTGCTTTCTAACCGCTTGCTGTATTAATAAAAATATATTTGTCTTCACTGTTGTTTTAGTAGTTCAATGTAACAATTTATTTTTATTTTTTTCATGTACATGAATGTTATTACCAATCTGATAGTTTAAAAAAAAACACTTGTTATGTAGTTGAACCTTGTGTGTGGATGTGTGAAGGCTTTATTTACAGTTTTGAAAATTCTACAGCCAACATGAAGTCCGAATAACAAAAATTGAGAATGCAGCCACCTAATGAAGTGTTTTTCTGTGAATTCTTTTTTTCTGTTGTATACTATTATGTACTGAATTTCGAAAAAAAAAGTATATCTAAAATCATGTTTACATAAGACATCTTATTAACTATCAGAGTTGAAGTGTGCAGTTTCATTCTAGTAGTTGTTTTGAAATAACTCTGAAAACTTCAATAGAGCATGAATTATTAGTATATTAAACTACTGTGTATTTAAAAGAAAAACACAGCTGTCCAATAATATTAAATATTTTCCCTTATGGTATCATCTTTATACCATTTGTGTTGCAGCTTTTTACTTTCCTTGGTCCTCTCTTTTCATGTCTCCAGAGAATCATGGAAAGGATTGTAAATCATTATAATGCTTCCAATTCTCCCAAACTTTAAGCATGAAAGTGCATTTGATCTGTGAGGAACCTAACATGGTTTTCAGAGAGATTGTTTTATTTACTCATATCTACATATCTTCAGTCCTCAACAAAATGTGCATTTATTGAGACTCTTACATAATGTTTATATAGTCTGTTAAGATAAGACAAAAGAGCTCTATGTTGAAATTGGACGTGAGGATCTTTTTGATACCTTCCATCTATAGTTTTTAAAGGAGAGTGAGGTTATTTTTACCAGGTTTTAATTAATATTTACATTGCATTGAACTGCACTTTTTACATTTAAATAGATATGAATTATTACCAGTTAACACAAAATGCTGCATCTTTTTAAAATCCTTTTAGATATTGGTGGATGGTAAATTTATTTCATATGCATATTTATTTGATATGCAGACCGTGTTGATCAGCGTAGGCTGGCTGTTTACAATGAGTACCTAGCAAGGACAGAATGCTTTACAGCTTGGAAGTGTATTAAAAATATATTATAAACTGCTTGATCTTGTAAAGCTATATTCCAAGGTAAGTACAATGGCATGTTAAGTGAAAACCTAATGGAATTACTGTCTGGTTGTGCAATATTTGGTCTTTGTTTTATGGTATGTTTGTATTTCATGAGAATGACCTTCATAGTTTAAGCTACTAACTATAGCTGTTTATATCCCTGAGAGAGAAATTACTTTCTCTGTGGACGGCAAATAAATTGCATTTTAATAAATATACGTAAGGATCATAAAATGAGGGTATGAAATACAGATTACAGGTATTAAATTTATCCCGCTGCCTCACAAGTGAAGTATTTTATTGTCAATTGCATGCAAGAAATGTGAGAACTTTTTCAACTTTAAATTTGGGATCTAATTACTTTTACTGTCTGACATAGAGTTGGTGCAGTACTCAAATTGGCTTCTCACTCTTTATAGTGTCTGGACTTAAGATTTTTTTATTATTATTTTTTGATTTGTTTGTCTTAGTTAATTGCCAGTTAATAGGATTTCATGCATTAACAGTGTCAAAATTTTCTTACATTACTAATGAATCTTAGTGTGTCCTGAATATAAATGGTAAAATACCTGTGTACTGCATATGTCCAAAGCTGGTGAGCAACTTTAACCCGAGTGCTACAGCTCTTTGTAAGAAGCAGTAAGAAAACATATAGTGTTGAAATGGTAGTTTTTAAAATTCAGAATTAATATTCAGTCTGAGTGTTCTGATAAATGTTAGATTTATGGAAATATTTTGCTTTTTGCGGCAATGTTTATTAGGTTTTCTGTTTTAGTATCCTCTCATGCTTTTGAAATAAAGGTGCACGTGAATGTGATTTTTTTTTTTGTTAAAGTTCTTTAGTAATCACTTTCTAGGTGAGAAATTACTTGTTCATCAGTTCTTTTTTTTTTTTTTTTCCATAAAGGTAAATGGAAGAAATTTATTGTTAGTTGCATTATTTTCAGCTCCCAGAAAAAAATGTGTGAAGAAATAACCAGCTGCTCTTTTAAGTATTTAGGAGATGAGGCTAATGGGTTGTCAGTCAGGTCACTTATCTGTTTAATCTATTTCTGTAGCAGCAGATGACATCTGCAGAAGCAGCAGATGACATGTTTTCTTTAGTAGGACTCTGACAGTGTCGTTATGGCTCAATCATAATAAAAGAACTGAGAAGTTCTGGGCCTGAAATGGATCTTTGCTGCTTCCCTTTATTTGATAGCACTATTTTCCCAGGGAGCTAGTTCCTCGTTTCTCAGGTAGGACCGTGACTATTCAATGTGTGCCTTACCGATGCATAATGCTGCTGTAGCAGTGCCGTGCTGTGCCGAGCCACAGCCTGTGTCTGTGGAGGGGTTTGGGTTGGTTTTCCAGCTGCATTGACAGCCTTTTTAATGGCAGTCGATTCTTTTTTCTTTTTTTTTTTTTTTGAGCCACTGATTGAATTTGGCAACCGCTTTTCTCTTGTTATCCCTCAAATGGATGTTGGACTGACTTCTCTTTTAATTATATGGGTCATCCTGTTAGTCCTTCTGACTTGACTTTTTTAACTTTCTAAGTATTCCAAGGTTTATTGAAACATGTGGTTAGAAGTTACCTTACCCCGCTGATCCAAAAAAAAAGGTGAATTGATCTGTGAATCTCATCCTAATTCACCAACAGACTAAAAAGCACTACTCTAGTTGACTCTAAAGTGAATATGCATTTTTTCCTCGAGGATTTATCATATCATTAAAAAAAGGGTTATTTTAATTGTAAGCATGTAATAGTGCTAGACTGTCATTTTATTCATAATATTTCTGAATGTTTTTATGTGTTTTTCTGTCAAATGTAGGTTTTACCTGAAGTATATTTCCTTTTCTGTATTTTGTATCTTCTGTCTTTCAGTATAATCAGCATTGAGTACGTGTTCATATTTCTAGGAATAATTCTGTGAACTTATAGTTTTGGGGTTAATAAATAAATAAATAAAATAGCCTTGTTTTAAAATAGCTATATTTACTTGTAACTGGAAAAGAATATCTAGCAGCCCTTCTTGTGAATTTTACTGTGTGTTATAGAAATAGTCATTTTAGTAATACTGTCAGTTGTTAACTCCATAGCAGGTCACTGAGTAGCTAACGTGTTTTACTGAAAATAAAAGCACAAGTATCTTTTAACTGAAATGAGACAGATACGCAGATTGGAGCTCAGTTTGCAGTTTATGGATCAAACTACTTGGTCCTTGCTCCAGTTAGTAAGTACATCCGAGCAAGTTTCAAAATTATGGAATCTGCCATTACAAGACTCTGCTTATGGCCTTGCAGCAGAAATTACTTATCCTTGTTGGTCTTTAAAAGCTATGAACTGAAAGTTCTTGGAATTTCAACAACAAAAGAAGTATTTTTTTTCAGGAGGAGAATTTGGATTAATCTTGGCAAAAGAACTGCGAATGTATGTTAGTCACTCTCGAAGGTTAGTAAGCAAAGCAGAAAGGATTAGGATTTAAAAATACATTAAAAATGAATTCAAATTAGTTATAATAGGTAAGAAAGACACAAGTTGTATGTACAAATGTATAAATTCTATGTATATAGAAGGCACAGCTATGGCATTTATTTTATTTTACTTATTTTTTTCCAGCAGTCTAGAGTGAGTTCTTGTTTCTAATATTAAAGTTCTTTGGTTATATCTATAATGCTCCTCAGTTTTGGCTTAGATCTTGAGGAATGGTTTTTTTGTGAGTAAAGGTGCAAAACCATGGCCTCATTTTCCATTGCTCTTTAGTGGAATGAGCAGCTAGGAGATTAAACTGGTGTACCTGTGCTTGATTAGCCTTCAGTGCCCCAGCTGAAAAGTCCAGCTTTGGGCTCCTTGCTATGAGTAAGGTGTGACACAAGGAGCGAGCGGAGCAGAGGGCTACCAGGGTGGGCAGGGGCCACAGGAGAGACAGGGAGCACTGG